GACTAGCAAAATATCTCAATTTTGACCAGTGATTCCAGCCATGGAAGCCTTTGATAATACATATCTCAATTTTGCTGTGAGTTTTCTGGGCTGTGTGGCCATGTTCTAGAAGCATTTTCTCCTGACCTTTTGTCCACATCTATGTCAGAAACAGTCAGGAGAGAATGCTTCTGGAACATGGCCATACAGCCCAGAAAACTCACAGCAACCCAGTAATTCTGGCCATGAAAGCCTTCGACAACACATATCTCGGTTTCGTTTGGGTAGGTTGGGTAGATTGGTAGGAATCTGTGATGTCTGTCTTCCTGGGGATACACAGGTCAATGCTCGTTTTGAAAATCCCATTATTATTATTCTTTATTGTTGCTTTAAAAAAGGAAAATAGATGTAAACAAAAATAAAATACAACAGTCAAAAAGGGCCAGAAGATTCCTTGACTTGATTTGCACGTGTTTGGAGATGTAGCTCCACCTGACCCACCTCCCCATTGTGTTCTCATCTTCTTCCCATGTTCATTTCCACATTTCCTTTCACCTCAAAAGCTGCAGCCTTGTCCCTTCCCTTTCTTCCTTCTCCTCTCTGCTTATGAGTCCATCCTCTCCTGTCCCTCGGCATAGCTTCCGCTCCTTTCTTTTATTTCAGCCTAGGTTATAATGGGAGCTTTGGAGGCAAACTTGAATCTGGGTTGTGGAAGATCTCCACTCCCTGCCTTTTAGTATATATATTATCAAATATTCCTGGTCTCTTTTTTATTTGCCTCCTCTCTTTCACAGCAGAGGCTTGCAAGCTCATTCCTTGCAAATCCAGGTTTTTAACAAATAGGAAAGATGCTTTTACTTACCTGGAAAGTGCCACCCTTTTGGTTCCCTCATCTCATTCAACACATGTAAAAGATCCATTTATTTACCTGGAAAGTGCCACCTTTTTGGTTCCCCCACCTCATTCTTCCTTCCTTCTGCAATTTGGAAAGAGATGCAAATAAATCTGTGGCAATTTTAATTCAAGCTCCTTCTATCCTAACCAATTTAAGCTCCTATCTTTTAACTGACCCTAGAAAGATTAGGTTGAAATACCTCTGTTTCTTAAGAAGTGGATTGATTTGAGCAGAAGGATCAAAGTAACAATATATACCTATTAGAAACAAAACATTCAACTGTGTTTATGTAGACAAGGAGCAGCAGCAGCAATAATAATAATAATAATAATAATAATAATAATAATAATAATAATGTATTGTATTGTGTAGTTAGGCAGCAGCAGAAACAATAATACTAAATATTGTATTGCGTACTTAGGCAACAACAACAACAACAACAACAACAACATAATAATGTATTGTATTGTGTACTTAGGCAACAACAACAATATAATAATAATAATAATAATAATATAGTATTGTATTGTGTACTTAGACAACAGCAGTAATAATATAATATAATAATAAAACATTATATTGTATACTTAGGCAACAGCAATACTATAATAATTAAGTATTGCATTGTGTACTTATGCAATAATAATAATAGTAATAATAGTAATAATAATAATAATAATAATAATAATAATAATAATGTGTTGTATTGTGTACTTAGGCAACAACAGTAATAATAACATAATAATAAAGTATTGGATACTATACTTAGGCAGCAGCAACAACAACAACAACAAAGTATTGTATCATGTACTTAGGCAACAACAACAATATAATAAACTATTGTATTGTGTACTTAGGTTTAAGTAATAGCGAGAGTATTTTGCTCATGCTACCTCTACCTTAAGAAACCAAATGGTTTGTAAATGAGTTTGTAGGTCGGCATGCCAGTCCTCTTTCATAGACTGCCTTTTCGTTCTTCTTAATTAGCAATTATTTATGTTAAAAGCACTGAAAAAATGTGTAGGTTATGCTTTAAAAAAATATCTGTACATTTGAATACCTTGTTATATTCACGAACGTTGCCTCATATGAAATTAATTGGTGGAAATGCAGAGGTTTAATCGACACAACAGTGCTTTGGAGTTGCCACTTGATTTGCTAGTTTTGGATAGGAATCCAATCCAGTTGCACAGGACTTCACAAAATCTCTCTCTCTCTCTCTCACTAATTCACTCTCTGTGTGTTGTGCTGACCATTGTTTAACGTGACTTTTAACGGCATGGGAAAAGGTTCTGTCTTGCTTTGCTATTATCATATTACTGATTTCACAAATATATCGGGCCTATTTCAATTTGCCTAATTCCAAGGTAGGAGAAAGCTAATTGTTTTGATATTTTGCTCCCAAGTTTGCATGCAAGTGTTTGTGTTTTTTTGAAGGAAGTTTAAAAATATTTTTTGGGGGGGATGAACCTGCCTGGCACAAGCAAGAGTCTTTGCCCCTTGTTTCAACGTACGTTGTGACAGTCGTTCCCCCATAAAAGGAGCAAAATGTCAATGTTATAGCTACATGCTTAATCTTTCCTCTTTCGAATTATTCACCACTAATATACATGTTAGTGTCAGTGCGTTATCGTTGGTTAAGGGATCTTAAAGAATCCCTTCCTGCAGAAAATAACCTTCTTATTTCAGTAACACACCTTACCTTAAATTAGGAGTAATCACAGATGCAAGAAATTAGAGAATAACATAGAATTATTATGATATGGTTCTGTTTAGCATCAGGCTACTAGTCTCTTATTATTATTATTCTGTCCATTTGGGAATTGCTCCAATCCCCTCACCCTTTAAATAATATGCCTAGGTTGGACCCAAATAACGTTAACGTTATATGTCGATATATATATATATATATATATATATATATATATATATTCATTCAAAATGTGTTCCAATATGGCACAGACAAATTAAAATCTATTTTTGTGATTCTCAGTGGCTTTAAGTTCATTAAATGTGAAATTGGTCACATGCTAAAGAAGGTCACGCTGATTAACTGTTGGGGTGTTTCGCCCTGCTATACATTTCTGAAGGAGCTGCTCTGGATATTTTGCAAAGAAGCTATTTTCGTGTTCGTGTGCAATATAAGTGGTAGCTATTAGGGAAATTTGCACCTGAAGATGATGCTTTTCCCCTTCTTCTTTCCTTCTGTCTCTGGAAAGGGAGGAATCCTGAATGCTAGGTGGCTCTTTTTGCCAAGGTAATTCGACAGAAACATATCTCAGTCCCCCACCTGAAAAAAAACCAAAAACAAAACCCTTTTCAAATCCTTACTAATATGACTGTGCCTTGTTAAACTATCCACTGGCAACAGTATGTGCAGAAACGGGCTCTTAATGGAGTTTTCTGGACCTCGTACAGGAAATTAATCATCTCTGACAACATTAGGAAAGGTACTTGAAATTTAAAGAAAGGGCTTATGAAAGGTAGAAGGTAGTTGTCTTTATATTGGCTTTTACCTTAGGAAGGCCACCAATCATATATTCTGAATGAATCGAGGATTCGTTTCATAAGGAAGCGGAGAGGAAAAAAGCGACACACCTAAGGCTAATTGGCACATTTCCTAAGAGCTTTGCAACCTTTTTTTAATTTTCTCAAAAATGGTAACCAGGGGTTGGCATCAAATGGGAGATCTATCTATCTATCATCTATCTATCTATCTATCTATCTATCTATCTATCTATCTATCTATCTATCATCTATCTATATTTTCTGGGTGAGTTTGCTGAAAAAAAGATCTGTTTTTTTCCCTTTGGTGTGAAAACAAATAGCACATTTTTTGTCTGTTTTGGAGAACTGTTGTGGGAAATTCTTGTGCATGCCAGGATGTGTATGGCACGGAAACAGACCTGATTTTTTGGAAAATTAAAGGGCACTTTAGGTGCTGTGTGTACTAGTTGTCAGAAGAAGCCCTTTTCCTAATCTTGTGATATTACTACTTATGTTTTTGTATGCATGCACACGCTTCGCTTATGCGTTACCTGCACACGAAAGCAGCGCATCCATTCCAAATATGTGATACTTGCTTACAAGGATAAAATAAACATGCCCGCAGATCTGGCAAAAGGGCTGTGTGTGTAGTGACAAAACCAAGGCACAGCTTTTCTAGCTTCGCTTTCTGACAGCATTAAAAACAATATAATCCCCTCTGTGTGTTTTTTATTTCATTCACTTTTTTTTATAAAAGCAGATTAGCTTAGGCCCTCCAAAGAAACAGAGTGAGAGAGAGAGGAGAGTGTGAGGTTCACATCTTCTGAGTTATTCACATTATAGCTGGATAGGAAGCAATGCACGCTGTGGCTGATAAGTTCGTTTTCCTGTTGAAATGACAACACGCTACAAAAAAGGGGAAGCTCTCTTACTGTCTTGCATTGGCGTCATCTTGCTTGCCTTTAAAATAATACTGATATTTTGAAAAAAAGAGAGTATATTGCACTTTTTGAACAAATATAAACTGACATAATGCCACAAGAATGTGAATGTATAATTGTTATTTTATTTTACAATGTTTTATCCTTCCCATGTATGTATTTGGATTGTTGATTACATGATTGTATTTGGATTGTTGTTTACGTGATTGCAATGTGTTGTAAACTGCTTTGAGTCCCGTGAGGGAGAAAAGCGGGATATAAATAAAGATTTATTATTAGTATTATTAGTGTTATAATAAAGGAAGAGAAATTTAAAATAGGTTTCATGGCTTCCATTGTACGGGAAGGATCTGACCTCACAACCCTTGATGCAGGCAAAATGTCAGGAGAGAATGCTTCTGGAGCATGACTATACAGCCCAGAAAACTCACAACAACCCAGATCTGAATGGTATTAAGGGCTCTTTTGTCCTTTAAAAATCCACTAGAATCTAATATTTTAAAGATTTTCTTTAGACCTAGAGGTGATGCTCTCATAATTTGCCAACAACCTTAATTTTTGGAAAGGTTTGTTGTCATCCCCCGCCATGTAAGAATTAGGACATATCGTTCTGGTACCCCCTTTCTGCGGTTATTGCGTCCTATGTTGTCTAAGATTTCTGACTGTTGTCTTCTTCATTCTCCTTCCCCCCGTTGCAGCCGAACCTATCGAAGCCATTCTTACGGATGAGGAACCAGACCACGGTACATTGGGAGCTCCAGAAGGGGACCACGACCTCCTCACCTGTGGCCAGTGTCAGATGAACTTCCCGTTGGGGGACATCCTTATTTTTATTGAGCACAAACGGAAGCAATGCAATGGCATTCTTTGCCTAGAGAAGGTTGTGGATAAGCCCCCATCACCCTCGCCGAGCGAGCTGCGGAAACCATCCAATCCTGTGGAGGTTGGCATCCAGGTCACGCCTGAAGATGACGATTGTTTGTCAACGTCATCGAGAGGAATTTGCCCCAAACAGGAACATATAGCAGGTAAATCAAAGTGTGGAGGGGGGGGGGAGTTTTGGGTGGACATGCAATGAGTAGGGACTGCCCAATGGAAAGTTTGCGTTTCTGATGGAAGGCCCGTTTTCCCGAAATTTCGTTCTGCCAGGTTGAGTTTGAAGTGTTTTCTGCACACAAATGCAATCATATATACAATTTTGTCTTGATGATTATCAGTGGAATCACAAGACTTATGGACTTGTGTCATACCCCAAGTAAGAGCCTCTTCTCTTTTCATGCCTGCCACATTCCATGCATTTCTTTTTGATTTTTCCCTGGCCTAGGGGCAGTCAGCTGAAGCAGGAAGCTTGTAGAGGAGGACTAGGCTTCTCTCCCTGCCCCCAGTTCCCTCTCTTTTGTAGAGATGTTCATATGTGTTTCTTTCCTATTTACAAGTGGGTAAAAATAGCAAGGCATTTTTTTCGTGTTTTCATGTAGCCACGCTGGTGTTACACTAGAGTTTTCCTGCAAGATAGTATAATCAGATGCATAACCCTATATATTCAAGAAACGTGCTGGAGCGCAGTTGATTGGCATGTGGGTCTTGTTGTGCATTATGTTTTTGACCATCTAGACCATGTGTATGAGTCCTGTGCAAATATGAGACTTCTTTGCAAAGCTTCAAGCAGACTGTGGGATCAGCTCTGCCTCTTGCTTCTGCCTGAGTTTTTCTTGTGGTCTCTTGGACGCTGAAGTCCACTGTTTCCCTTGTGCCCACTTTCTCAATTCCAACAGACCTTTGAGAAATTTAAGCTTTTATTTTCTGGTTGGCATCCATTTTCAAGCCTGAGCTTTATTACTCAAAGTAAGGATGGGTGGAAAACACCTTCTGAAACTTTGAGTTTTCCTGCAAGATAGTATAATCAGATGCATAACCCTATATATTCAAGAAACGTGCTGGAGTGCAATTGATTGGCATGTGTTTAGGTAGATCTATGGGTCTTGTTGTGCATTATGTTTTTGACAATGTGGACCATGTTTGCGAGTCTTGTGCAGACACGACTTCTTTGCAAAGCTTCTAGTAGACTGTGGGATCAGCTCTGCCTCTTGCTTCTGCCTCACTCTTTCTTGTGGTCCCTCGGACACCCAAGTCCACTGTTTCCCTTGTGCCCGCTTTCTCGAGTCCAACGGACTTCTGAGAAATTTAAGCTCTGGTTTTCTGCTTGGCACCCATTCTCAAGCCTGTGCTTCATTAGTCAAAGCAAGGATGGGTAGAAACCACCCTCCGAAACCTTGAGTTTTCCTGCAAGATAGTATAATCAGATGCATAACCCTATATATTCAAGAAACGTGCTGGAGTGCAGTTGATTGGTGTGTGTTTAGGCAGATCTATGGGTCTTGTTGTTCATTATGTTTGTGACCATGTGGACCACATTTGCGAGTCTTGTGCAGACACGACTTCTTTGCAAAGCTTCAAGCAGACTGTGGGATCAGCTCTGCCTCTTGCTTCTGCCTCAGTGTTTCTTGTGGTCTCTCGGACACCGAAGTCCACTGTTTCCTTGTGCCCGCTTTCTCGAGTCCAATGGACCTCTGAGAAATTCAAGCTCTGGGTTTCTGGTTGGCAGCCATCCTCAAGCCTGTGCTTCACTAGTCAAAGCAAGGATGGGTGGAAGCCACCCTCCGAAACCTCTGCTTGATTGCTTGGGTCTATATGCACAATTCCTTGTAGGGCGTCAAAGACCCCTGAATGCAACATGCCAGCTGAAGACTTTTGTGTATGCTTTGTAGAACTGATTGCATAGTCTTTGTAATTTTAATTTCTTGCAGACACAGATTGGGGGAGGAAGAGGAGGAGGGGAAGAAAGGGTTAACAGCATCCCCCCCCTTCTCTCTCTGTATCTGTGTTTCTCTCCCTCTGTCTCTCTCTCTCTTCTGCCACCATCCATTTTGGTTGTCATCGTGTGGGTTGTAATTAAAGGCAGCCCCCTCAGCTAAGTGACACGGCTGACCTTGACTTTAAGATGCCATTTCGACTGCCCAGGCCAGGAGAGAGAGGGCACTATCTGAAGCACATAGGGCTGGCTGATTCGAAAAGTTTAAGGGCACCGTTGGAAATTTCAAAAGGTTGGCTTGACAGAGGAGGAGGAGGCTGCTCTCCTGCAATTCTTGCCTCCTCAGCCAAATGATAAATGTTCGCCCTGTGCTGTCTCTTGTCTCTGATGTGGTTTTGACAGATGTATCTTGATTTTCTTCTGTGGCTTTACATCCCCCACATGTCACCCATACAAATGTCCGAGGCGGACTGGCTTTTCGGGCACAGAGGCGCAGACTTCTCTCTCCCTCTCTCTCTCTCTCGGTAGTTAATTAAGGGAAAATGAAGTAAAAATAAAAAAATAATGGATGCTATTCCCTGTCTTTTGTTGTTGTTATTATTATTATGAGGATCATTATTATTTTAATGACCGGCAAGGCGCATCTGCGCAGAGCATTATGTGCGTGCTGCGGGTTTTTCTGTAATTTTTTTTCTCTCTTCATAATCTCAAAACACCAAATTGAAGTGAAGAGACGTTTGAAGTTAAGGCAGACGCAAAGCGGTCTGTTAATTCCGCCGGGCTAATAAGGCCTGTTATTGTCGTTACAACCCAGATGGCAAACAAGACTGCTTTCTTTTAGCTTTCAATATACTGCTTTTTTTTAAAAAAAATACGCAGCCTGTAAAATTGACATAGATCTGATAAACGTTAGGGAAAGCCAGAAAGAGTTAGTATAAACTATCACTTGCACTATTGTTTTCGTCGCCTAAGGGATGCTGTGGTATTAGTCGTCGCTGTCTGTGTGTAAGTCACATGTATCCCTTTCCCCCTCCCAAGATACATACGTAAACGGTATAAGGCAGTAATTCATGGGCCAGTTAGATTGCAACCAGCCTATTAATGTTAGTTGGCTTGCATCAGAATAAGTGGTCTATGCCTTATTTTACATGTTATCTGAAGATAACGATGGTACTCTCCATTCTGTCTACCTTTCCTCCCCCTAAAATGCAGCCATTTGAATCCGTTTTCCATATACATACATATATGTGTGTGTATATGACACATATATCTATATTTCTAGATACAGTGGATGCAAAATGAAGTAGCTTCAAAATGTTCTCACCTTCTTGGAATAGGTTTTGAAATTTTGTAGTTTTGGAGAGTTTGGAATTCCAGCTTTGTTTACGCAAGAGTATTTTGAAGGTTGGATGTCTGCCTTTGAGGATGTTTGTTATGTGAGTTTGTATGTATATTGAAGTAATGCAAAAAATATAGGCAAATCCCTAAAAAGATTTGTGAGCTCAGGACTTCTGAACAGCCCAAACTGCATTTTGCAATTTGTTCGGAATTTTGAATTTGGATGCTTTGTTTTGTTTTGATGTTCTATGTCTTCTGTAAGCGAACTGCTTTGTGTTGGGTCTGCCTTCGTCATACAACAGCAGCATTTTCGTGGACTGTCTTATGATTTGGTGGGCCTTTCTGAACAAAGAAAGTCCCAAAACAAGCAAAGACCTGTCCTTTCCTGGGCCAAACAGATGCAAATTTTCAAGTGATGTGCTTTTTTTTYTTGGAGAGGAAACATTCTCCTTTAAACATAGTGTTGCATGCAAGCGATGTCCTTTTTTTTTTTTGAGAGGAAACATTCTCCTTTAAACATAGTGTGCATGCAAGCRATGTCCTTTTTTTTTTATAGAGGAAACATTATTCTTTAAACATAGGTGTTCAGATTTTTTTTCCATGTCAGGAGCAATTTGAGAAACTCAATGCCACTTCTGGTGTGAGAGAATTGGCCTTCTTCAAGGACGTTGCCCAGGGGAYGTCCGGATGTTTGATGTTTTGCCATCCTTGTGGGTGGCTTTCCTATTGGCCCCATATGGAGAGCTGAAGCTGAYAGAAGGAGCTCATCCACGTTCTCCCCAGATTTGAAATGCTGRCCTATTGGTCAGCAGTCCTGCTGGCACAAGGGTTTAACCCATTGCCCCATCAGGGGCTCAGATAACATATATGTATGTCTGTGTGTGGATTTATGCTTGCACAGACACGTCAATGCAATTTATTCATTTGAAATTTCATTTTTAAATTACCGTATATACCTGAAAAAGAAGCCTGCGTAATTTGATTATTGTATATACCTGAAAAAGGATTGTGCGTAATTTGAAGGCTCACACCCACCATCTTGAAAATTAAGTGGACGTGTGCCACTAACTCCACATGACCGCCATACTGCCAAGTTATTCGTCAATTTTAACTATTTTGAGCTAATGTATGTATCTGTGCAGCCTGTCCCCAAAAAATAAAGTGTTGTCACTCTCCGCCTGTACATTTTCCTATATTTCTCTTGCTTTAGGTATAGATATCGCTCAGTTTCCTTTAGCTGAACTTCAGCAATCTGTATCAGCATTCCGCATTCCATGTTGTATGTATTGGCTGCATCACCCCGTGTCGGAGTTGCTCCGCGTAAGCAGAGCTCCCATTTAGTCAAACTTCTGATTATCTTAGGCTTTGTTTTATCCTCATGGCCACTCTGATAAATAAGGGCAGTGCTTTTGTGCTTATTGAAAAAAAAAAACCCAGGCAAACAGCGCAGATTTGGCAGGCAACACGAAGGGAAAGGTGGCAGAAGCAAGGCTGCCGCATGGTTATCTGTAGTATGTAGGTTAAGTCATTGCTTTATGATGGGTGGCATTGCCCATGAGATCCATGTTTTGAATGCGGGTGAGATATAGTACTATAGTTGTTGTTGTTGTTGTTGTTGTTGTTGTTGTTGTTGTTGTTGTTGTTGTTATTATTATTATTATTTGAAACAACAAGATTAGGACACAGCAAGCAAAATCACTGTGCTGGTTGTTGTATTGGTTCACACACTGGACACTTCCCAAGTGTCTAGGACGATGTGATGTATCGGCGAATAATGTGTGCAGATCCCAGTAGGGTGACCTTTTGCAGCTGACAGATGGTAATTTTGTCAGCGCTGATTGTGTTTGAGTGCAGGCCAAGGTCTTTAGACACTGCATC